ACACCCACCAGGGCACACCCACCAGGGCACACCCACCAGGGCACACCTACCAGGGACTGTCCTGGAACGTGTGCGGGGCTCAAGGCGACCTGAGTTCAGTTCCCTGAACTTATGTAGCAGGAGAAAACTGACTCCCTCAAGTTGTTCTCCAGCCTCCACACCTACACTGTGACACACACACATGCCTATGTACACATACACACATACACACCTGCAATACACTCACACACATGCACATACATCTACACAACTATGTACACACATTCACATACACATACATACACACATTTGCACCCCCCCCCATAACATACACAGGTAAATTCACATGCACATGCTTAACTATGTACACACATGTACACACACACATTCATATACTCATATACATGCATATACACATATAACACACACACACACACACACACACACACACACACTTTTTAAGATAAAGAATTGGGTCTTGGATTGGGCCATGAAGAGAGGTCCAGGGAGCATCAGGAGAAGAGAGCTGGGCCAGAAAAAAAAAAAAAAAGAAAAGTCTCATTTCAAGATGGTTACCCACACGCACACAGGAGCTCAGTGACTGCCGTGCTAACTGTGACACACCTAGAGAGAGGAAGGGATCCTGCTGCCAGACCTGCCTGGTGTCCCCCTCCCTGGTGTTCCCACCACCCGAGGACAATTCAGAATTCTAGACAGGCGCAGGTCCAGCATTCGGCTCGACACTCTCTAGAGGGACCTGACAGACCTCAGGACCACAGGGCTAGACACCCGCACCCTGACCCCCTACCTACAGGTCCAACTGAGACTCAAACAGCAGAGAAGAGCCGCTGGCTACTCATGGAGATCTAGCCCATGACCTAGGACCCCCTCACCCCTGTGCCCAGGGGGCTCCAGAGACAACCAGGTGGTTAAGGGCCAGCGTAAGAACACCATCAACAAAACCCAGGGCAGTGTGGCAGCATCGGAGCCCAACCGGCCCCATACAGCAAGCCCTGGACAACACAGCCAAAACGCAGGGAAATGACCGTAAATCAAGGCTTATGAAGATCATAGAGGCCTTCAAAAAGGAAATGAATAAAGCCCTCAAAAATACAGGAAAATACAATCAAACAAAGGAACTTTTAAAGAGGAAATGAATAAATCACTGAATGAAATATAGAAACATACAATCAAACAGGTGAAAAAAATGAATAAAACTGTTCAAGACCTGAAAATGGAAATAGAATCAATAAAGAAATTACAAACTGAGGAAATCCTGGAGAGGGAAAACTTAGGGAAGAGAGCGGGAACTACAGAGGTGAGCATCACCAACAGAATACAACTGAAGAAATTGATACATCTGTCGAAGAAAATATTAAATCAAAATATTTCCTGACACAAAACATCCAAGAAATTAAGGACATGGCAAAAGACAAAACCTAAGAATAACAGGAATAGAAGATTCCCAGCTCCAAGAACCAGAAAATATTTTCAACAAAATGGAGGAAACTTGCCCCAACCTAAAGAAAGAGATGCCTTTAACATACAAGAGATTACAGAACACCAAATACATTAGACCAGAAAAGAAATTCCTCCTGCCACATAATAATCAAAACATTAAATGTACCAAACAAAGAAAAAATAGTAAAAGCTGCAAGGGAAAAAGGCCAAGTAACATATAAAGGTAGACCTATCAGAATAACACCCGACTTCTCAATAGAGACTATAAAAGCCAGAAGGGCCTGAGTCTCACAGAGCCTAAGAGATCACAGATGTCAGCCCAGACTACTATACCCAGAAAAACTTTCAATCACCATAGATGGAGAAACAAGACATTCCACAACAGAACCAAAGTTTTAAAAATCTATGTTCAAACCAAGCCCTACAGAAGAAACTACAAGGAAATCTCCAACCCAAGGAGGATAACTCTAACCAAGAAAACATAGGATATAGATAACTTCATTACAGCAAAACCAAAAGAAGATGAGCACGCAAACACACTACCACCACCAACATTAAAATAAAAGGAACCAACAATCATTGGTCATTAATATCTCCAAACATCAATGGGCTCAACTCTCCAATAAAAAGACAGTCTAACAGGATGGATGTGTAAAACAGGATCCAACATTCTGCTGCATTCAAGAAACACACCTCAGCACCAAAGATAAACTTTGCCTCAAAGTAAAAGGTTGGAAAAAGGTTTATCAAGCAAAGAGACCCAAGAGGCAAGCTGGAGTAGCTATCCTAATATCTAATAAAATAAACTTTCAACCAAAGTTAATAAAAAGAGATGGGGAAGGACACTTCATTCTCATCAAAGGAAAAATCCACCAAGATGACATCTCAACCCTGAACATCTATGCCCCAAATACAAGGGCACCCACATTTGTAAAAGAAACATTATTAAAGCTTAAATCATATACCAATCCACACACATTAATTGTGGGAGACTTCAATACCCTGCCCTCACCAATGGACAGATTGTAAAGACAAAAGCCAAATAAAGAAATATTGAAGTAACAGAGGTCATGAATCAAATGGACCTAATAGGTATCTATAGAACTTTTTACCCAAACACAAAAGAATATACTTTTCAGCACTGCATGGCACCTTCTCCAAAACCGACCATATAGCTGGTCACAAAGCAAGCCTCAACTGAGACAAGAAAATTGAATTAACTCATTGTGTTTTATCTGATCACCATGAATTAAAGCTGGACTTCAACAACAATAGAAATAACAAAAAGCCTAACATTCACAGAAACTGAAGAAGTCCCTACCGAATGACCACTGGGTCAGGGAGGAAATAAAGAAATTAAAGACTTTCTAAAATTCAATGAAAATGAAGGCACAACATAGCCAAACTTAAGGGGCACAATGAAAGCAGTGCAAAGAGGAAAGTTCATAGCACTAAGCACCTTTATAAAGAAACTGGAGACATCTCATACAAGCAACTTAATAGTACACCTGAAAGCTTTAGAAAAAAAAAAAAAAAAGGCAAACACACCCAAGAGGAATAGATGGCAGGAAATAATAAAATTCAGGGAGAAATCAATAAATTAGAAACAAAGAGACCATTACAAAAAAAATCAACAAAACCAAGAGCTGCTTGATTCTTTGAGAAAATCAACAAGAGAGACAAAACTTAGTCAAAATAACTAAAAGTCAGGGAGAAAAAATCCAAATCGACAGAATCAGAAATGAAAAGGGAGACATAACAACAGACTCTGAAGAAATTCAATTATTCAGTCTTATTTCCAAAGCCTGCATGCCACATAATCGGAAAATCTAAGTGAAGTGGACAATTTTCTTGATAGATTCCCCTTGCCAAGGTTAAATCAAGGTCAGGTAAGCAAGGTAAATTGTCCTATAACCCCTAAGGAAATACAAGCAGTCATTAAAAGTCTCCCTTCCAAAGAAAACCCAGGGCCAGATGGTTTCAGTGCAGAGTTTTACCAGACCTTCAAATAAGAGCTAATACCAATACTCTTCAAATTATTCCACAAAATAGAAACAGAAGGAACATTGCCAAACTCATTCTATGAGGCCACAGTTGCCCTGATACCTGCACCACACAAAGGCCCAACTAAGAAAGAATTTCAGAAAATGACTCAACAAAATACTCACAAAACGAATCCAAGAACACATCAAAAACATCATCCACCATGATCAAGTAGGCTTCATCCCAGGGATGCAGGGATGGTTCAACATAGGAAAATCCATCAGTGTAA